TCGATTTTTTATTTTACGCGAGCTTTTTTCCGCGTTTTTTTCTTGGTGGGACACGGGCAAGGCCCTTCTCGCGAGCGGCAGCATCACGCTGAGGGCCCCCCCCCTTCCGAACATCTGCGTCGCATTTTCATGCAGACCCCCCCCTCTCCCTCCTCGCGGCAATAAGAAACGCTCGCTCAGAGTACAGTGCGTGAGGTCATGTGCCCCTCTCTCAGCCCCTGGGCAAGGCAGTGAACAGGCACATTAAATCAGACACGTGTTTTTTTTCTTTCTCTCTGTCTCTCACACTCTGTACAAGCACGACGTTAACGCTGTTATTACAAAAAAAATGCTAATGCGTTTTTCTGATTTTTTTTTTTACCGTGCCGGGCCCAAACAGAAATGTGCTTCCCTCCGAATAAAAAATCAAAACCGGTGTCTTTCAAATAATTGTTGAAAAAAATATAAGCAAGGTGACTGGGATTGATTTGAACAACGAAATATTATATTTTTGTTAAATGACTAACAGCAAGGAGCTATGTTATTGCCGACAAAGCCAATCCAATCAATTGATGCAGACGAGAATCTCAGATTTTTTTTTATTTTGCCAAAAAATCCTTTCCTTTCACAAACCAAAAAACTAAATAAATGTTCAAGCATTCCCAACTAAGGATTTGTTAAAAGAGTGCCCCAGATTATTTCCAACATAAATAGTAATGTTTAAAAAAATCATTCTAAAATTCAAAGTAAAATGTGTTTCCTGATCGAATGGTGGCCATAAACTGGTAGTAGAAATTCCACATTCATATGACAGTGACCAATCTATCCATACATTAACAATTGGTGACCTCCTACAAATGTAGTACCTATTTTATCTACCCAGAAGGGATGAGATGCTAACTTGACCCCCTAACCATGGATTTTAATTGGCAAATATTCTTTCGTGAGCCAAGTTTCCTGCCACCCAGTGCCATGCAGTCAGATGTTAAAATAATAAAAATCACATTTACGGCAAACTGATATTATCTTGTTGATCATATACTGCACCCACATTCAAAAGCTCACCAGCCTCAATGCCACTTAACATGAGGGGTTGACAGATACCAAGGCTGTGAGCATTGCTTCCGTATGAGTAACATCAAACCCATTCATATCGCTCTACACAACACACCCCCAGAGCTTCTATTGCAAACCAGTAACGGTGTATAGACTCTCTTAACCTCAGACCGTAGTGGAGATTGATGAAGATTGCAGGCATGGATAGATCACAGTCGATGCCAGGAGCAGTGAGGAATCGGTAGCCAACTGGTGTAAATTGCCGTGGAATAAGTCGAAGATAAAGCAAAGGCGCAGGCCCTACAATTGCCTGCTCATGCCACTGCTGGCGGGAGGCCCTCCGCCGGAGTGAACGCTGGAGGGTATTTGTGGTCTACTCTTTGACATTGACCAGACCAGCTGTAAGAGGTGGGCGTAACCCGCACCCTACCGCACTCAACCTGCCATATCGAATGACTGTGGTGAACTCATTTATACTGCGGGGTGGACACAGGCGGGCGGGAGGTGGGGGGATTTGAGAAACTTGCACCTTTGTTTCAACCACTGCGCCGGAAGATGGAATCGAATAGTAGACCTCTGGATTGCAGGCCCAGTATGCTAACCATTATACCAAGGCAGCTCCCAAAGGCACTGGTACGCAAGTGGAATCTACACACCGGTCATTGTTCCCGAAAACTGGCGGCACCCCTCCTGAAAGAGAGTCACGGGACTCGGTGAGGCTCTAATGTGCAAATTAAAGGTTATGCTACGACCAGTAGGAGTAAGCCAACGCACAAGTCTCATTTATTAGGCAGCATCGCCCAGTAAACACGCGACGTTTGCATGTGGTGGGCCCAACGTTGGCCCAACGTTGGCCCAACGTTCCACATGTAACGACCCGCTAAAGGGCAAGGAGGTTTGTGAAGTATTTTCAGCCGAAAACTTCAAAAAAAAAAATCTTCACAGCTTTGTCTCCCCGTCGTCAAAGATCAAACGCGAGGAACCGTGACGCATGCGACACGACTCCACGAAAGGTCTCCGCACATTAAAAATTATATGTGTGTGTGTGTGTGCTATATATGAACCTGCCGGCGGTGACAAACGGAACGCCCGAAACACGCTCACAGTGATATGAAAAGTTAACGACCGATGTGAGATGGAGTCGTTGCTTTGCTTCCAATTAAATAAATCGTCGTCGTCAGCCACCCAGGGTCAATCCACTGCTGGATGAAGGCCTCCTATCTTCCCCACGCGTGGAAAAGTAAAATACCGATAAACGAGAGGCAAGCAACCACAACACTTGTATCGAAGCCATCGTATGTGTGCATGTTGAACTTCTTTCGCACCCTACGTAGCCAACCACGGTAATAATCGGAGGTGCGGGGGGACGCATAACAAACTAATGACAAAAATCAGTTCTAGAGAAGTTAGTTTTCAATTTAGATATAAAAGTGCATAGCTCCAGTGGCTTCCTAATATTAGAAGGAAGAGCGTTCCAGACGGCCGTAGAAGCGCATCTGAAAGCGCGCGATGCAGCAACCGCCTTTGTTCGACGGCGTTAGCCACGAGCCGGCGCTGCGAGGATGACCGGAGTTCGGCCATCCGACTCTTGCCACTGTAACGTACCGAGTGATTTTCTGCACAATTGCTCACAGGCCTAGCTCTACTGTGTTTCTCACAGGACATTAGGCACACGCGGCTTTGGGAGCCTATGCCCATGTCAGTGTACTGAACCAGCTATTAAAGAACGCGATGTATTAAAGAGGCTTTAATTTGCACGGTGAAGTGAGCTGCTGCTGTGCGTGGACCCCGCGATGGAAAGCATGCAAGCCTAAAATCCAATCGGAGGGTCAACTCAGTTCACCATTCGTGCAGGATAGATAAAATGAGTACTACCTTTGTGGGAATTTAACACTGAGTGCCCCATGCTAATTTGAGTGTTCTTGACCACCACCTTTCTAATCCGTTTTATTTTTTAACATACGTGTATATCTTGACTTAAAGCTTTCGTTACTGCAGGAATTCATATTTTTTGGGTCTTTTGGTAAAGCCACGTAGATAGAAAAATAATACAAATATCACGACGTTTCGATCGCAACAAGCAATCGTCATCAGGTGGAAAAAAAAATGTTTCACCTGATGACGATATCTTTTTTCACCTAATGACGATTGATTGTGTTGTGATCGAAACGTCGTGATATTTTTATTATTTTTCTATCTACGTGGCTTTACCGAAAGACCCAAAGAATATACGTGTATATGTATATAAAGGGCTTTATTAGCAGAATTGTTCAACGATCAATTCTTAAAAACTATTGGTCCTAAGCCTTTCAATCTTCCGAGAGGTACGACCGGACCGTTTTAAACGCAACAATGTGGCACCGCGTTCAAAGGGGCAGAGCGGTGGTGGTGATGTGCTCGATCGCGCGCGGCGCGATGAACCCCCGACCCACCCGAGTTTAACTCCTGGTGGCACCAGTTCACATGAACGGCGAGAAATACCTCGACCGGTCCTGTGCTCCAACCTGCACTGGGCCAGCCTGGTGGGTGAAGTATGGTCAGACAACCCTCACCAAGCAACATCGTGTGGGAGAGGTCTTTATTCAGCAGTCACGTAACCGCTGCTGCGACCGCATTTGTAAACGGCCAATGTACGGGAAGGAATACATCCGTCTGTACGTATTATCCCATCATCAATACAATTCCCCATCAATTTCAATGCTGCGAGGAATTAGGCTCGCCATCGCTTTCAAGCCATCACGGGTTTCTTTCATCCTCCCACGCATTTCTTCAGGCACTGCTGCCGCAGTCACCACGACCCCCCACCCCACGCCAGGGGATCTCTGCAATGAAGCCTCCCATTGCCCCCACACCCGCCTCCATCCAATACCATTCCCTCCCATTACACTCACGGCTGCTGCTGATCACAGGAATCTAATGAGGTCATGCCACTTGCCTTAGGAAGCCGGGCATTCCTCTCCCATGGCTACGGCTACAATTTGCCTCCAGGGAATGAAAACCAGTCCCATGGTGGCAGCCACCATCACCACCACCACCCGCAGCCGCCACCACACCCTCCCAGATGCTTAGCACTCGACAGAATATTGCAGTAGGCTTGCACGTACACACGCAAGGCAAAGTCAAAGAACCCCCGTATACTTTCAATAGACTGCTCGGGCAAGTGCTGTTAGCGAGCACCTATGAAGGCCGGCACGGTACACAAGGGGGTGGGTGGCCAGCACCACGCCCGACCGCTTTTGTCTCCCCAGTGGCAATGTTTACACACCGCACTAGATACTCATTTGATGCTGAGTCGACCTAGGGGAGGCCCAGGAGTGGTTCAGATAATCGTCACTGGTGTTGGTGGCCGTGAGCGGGAATATAACTCGGGCATGTGGGTTTGTAGTGCAGTGCGCTAACTGCTACACACCACCACTCCGCCACGCACACACACACACAACACACAGAAAACAACGATCCCCATTCGCATGTGTATGTTATCAAATCATAAAAAATACTCCCATGAACATTTGGTGTTCGCGCCATTCATAGAGCACAAGGCTATCATCACGGAGGTGTTATGTTTCACAGACGTAGCCTGCAGTAGTTTCACAGCAGGGGCAAGGTTTATTTTAGTACTGCTTTGCGTATTTCCAAGTTGTGCTAACTATTTAATATATTCGGTCATATTCATATAGGCGAGTTCATCATCGCAACTTAAACGTTACACTAAAATTGTGCTCATATTAGCTCATTTTTACGATGGCTTTCAGACCCCCCCCCCCCCCCCCAATTACAAACGGACAGACAAGACAAAATTGATCCATAAACGCTTTCAACATTATTTGGAAAGTGTAAAGTAAAAAAAATGCAAGCGCTCATGCGCACGTGGCAAATCACACACCCAGCCAATCGCCATTGCCCAGACACACGTGGGCCACACACTCTCGCGCTCTCTCTCTGTGTGTGTGAATGTGTGCCCTCACCTGCTTCTCGGGAAAAACATGGCCCCGTGAATGAAGACTGAGCCGACCACCAGCACGTACCAACTTGTGCTGACGTCGTATGCCCTGGAAAAGAAAATGTGAAGGCCACAGCAAAATGTTATTTTTAAAAATGTTCAAAGGGTGGCATTATGCGATGCTGACGTGCCGTAATTCTGCGTGAGATCAGTCTTTTTGGTGGCCCCAGGAAACGTTTCTTTGGCAATTTTTTTTGTTACGACCGCTGCGCTTTAAAGCGATAGAATTTCGAAAATTGGCTCGCGCGTCCGACTCAGAAAGTTATCGGGCAAAGAAAATAAAATTTGGGAGTTATTTTTAGGCCGCTATTATTGCTGCTGAAACTCACTTTTGGAATGTTTTGTACACTTCGTTGGGAAAAGTGTGACGGCCATGGGGCTAAGTGTGGGAGAAAAGAGAGTCTTTTCTCTCCAGTGTGACGATGATGAATAACAACCAACGATTTATTTTCACATCCCAGTTGCAAAGTGGAGGCCCCTAAAAGACCGATTACATAAAAGCACTGGCTGAGATTATTGACGGGGGAAGAGGATTAATGGGTGATGATGAGACTTAAAAATAATGACAATGTTGACGTTTTACACTTAAATTACGTTCAGATTACACCCAAGTGAGCAACTTCAAGATCGCATCATTTATAGCTTAACTCAATCCTGTAGCATCACCGTGTTTAAACGGGGGGGGGGGCACCCTAAGACACAGAGCGGAGGAGGGAACAGCACAGTCTGTGCTAAACTAAATTTTAATTGATACTTTATCTAGTCTATTATAATAAAGTAATCATGCAGAAGTGGAGGGGGGGGAACGCAAGGGGCCCACCCAAAACCATTTCGGAGTAAAGAGACCACCAGCCCGTGAGATGTGAATAATAATTATAAACGAGAAAAGCCTGAATCGGGCCATCGTGGCAAGTGCGAGACACATTTGTGTGACTTGCCATGTGGAGGTCTCTGTTTACGCACATTACACCGGATTTGGCAAGCCGTGCACATGCAGCTAAGAGAATCCTTTCGCCTAACTTTATGGCACAGTTCCGCTGCCTTGCAGGGAAGGTGTAAGGAACAATTCAGGAATCTCAAAAGAATTCGATGAATGTATGGAATGTGGGCCCAATGCCACTGACTGTGTGTGGTGTGTGTGTCTGGCACAGTATGGGGAGCGGGTAGCGTAGCGGTTAGCGCGCTACGAACCTCGCGACCCGAGTTCGATTCCCGCTCACGGCCAACACCGATGACGATTTTCTGAACCGGTCCCGGGCCTTCCCTAAGTAGACTCAATCTCAAATGAGAACTTGGTGCGATGTGTAAACATCACCACTTGGTAGACAAAGGCGGTCGGGCGTGGTGATGGCCACCAACCCCCTCGTGTGCCGTGCCAGTTTTCAGAGGCGTTCGCTGACAGCACTTGCCCCAGCAGTCTGCTAAGGCTACACGGGGGATCTTTATCTCGTGTGTGGCCGTGTCAATGTTTATGTGTGGATCAGCAGCCGAGTGTTAGGCACATTTGCGCTTTGAGCCCAGTGACGATTATCTGAGCCACTCCTGGGCCTCCCCTTTGTCGACCCAGTCTCAAATGGGTGCTTAGTGCCGTGTGTACATATCAGCACTGGGGAAACAAAGGTGGCCGAGCATGGGTGATCGCCACACCGACCCCTTATGTGCCATTGCACCCTTAATAGGTCGTCACTAACAGCCCTTGCACTAACAGTCTACATAGGCCGCATGTGTCTTTGTGTGCACGTATTAAAGGGCACCTAGCCTGGCACAAGCGCTCTGGTGTCGTCACCACCACGTGGTGTTGGTTGGTTGCAACTGTTGCCTGTTTTTGCAGGGTGCAGGTGTGTGCCTCTATGAGTGCGTGATCTATTGCCGTGCCGACCTTCATAGGTGCTGCTCGCTAACAGCACTTACCCCAACAGTCTGTTAAGGCTATACGGGGGACCTTTGTCTATGCAATGGTCATCACACTATGCTATCAACCCTCCCAGCCCGGATTCAAATTCCCATCTACGCACAGCACCCAGCAGGATTTTTGGCATCCAAACCCACCTTAGGTCAACTCAGCCTAATGTGGGAGCTCAGTGCAAAGATCATCGGCATCATCGCCGTGGAGACAAAGTCACACGGGGCGGGCATTTGTGACGCAGGCCAAATGGCTCCCCTCGTGTGCGCCTCACCGACTGGCCCTTAAATAGGTGCTCACTGATACAGAGCACCTATTAAGGCCAGCGCATAGCTGGGCAAGAGGCCACTCGGCTACGCGGCGCGCACAAGCTCAGTCTAAACAGAGAGGTGAAATGTCAGCGGGCGATTGCCTCACAAACACCTCCCAGGAATTATGGCCCAGGCACAAGGCAGGAATGTATTTGGGCTGTGAGTCATGGCACACCTGGCCAAAATCCAGCAACTTGGCAATGGGGTTTGCGTACACAAATGGCTCACCAATCAATGTTGCCGGTCATCATGGAGAGTATGTGTGTTTTCTTATTCATTCCTACCCGGGACGGCCGGCCGGCCTGCCAAGCCATCATTCACGTTGAGCAGAGAGACAGCAAAAAACAACCTCTTGAAGCCCGGACTTCGGGTAAGCAAGAATGTGGACTCTACCAGAAGGTTTCCCGAAACAAAGAAACAGAGCAGTATGAAAATGTAAATTATAACAACAGAAACTCTGACAGGAACACTGTTCGCACGCCAATTACACTGCAGAAGTTGGTGCGCGTATGTGAGCTGTTAACTTATATGTTGCACGGCATTGTAATGAAGAAAACTCGTTACCTTAAACGGATGCATATAATCACATTTACAATGTATGTCTGCATCCAGCCGTCTGTACAGCTGTTTGTACGTTTGTCTGCCTGCTTCTAACGTATGCTGCATTGGCAAAATGCAGTTTTCTTTATAACTATGATAACGAAAACTATAACGAACGAAAGTGACAATGATGATTGTCTACTGACCTCAATGAGATCATATATATTTAAATACTCTTTGGTTCTTTCGGTAAAGTCACGTAGGTATAAAAATAAAATAAAATAAAAAATAATATATCACGGACGTTTCGATCACAACACAAGCAGCCGTCCTGAGGTGGAAAAAATAATCGAGCAGTGGAACTGCTGAACCAGCGAGGCGTCGTGATATATATTTTATTTCTACAGTGAGGGAAAAAAGTCTTTGATCCCACTGACAAAGAAATGATCAGTCTATAATTTTAATGGTAGGTTTATTTGAACAGTGAGAGACAGAATAACAACAACAAAATCCAGAAAAACGCATGTCAAAAATGTTATAAATTGATTTGCATTTTAATGAGGGAAATACGTATTTGACCCCTCTGCAAAACATGACTTAGTACTTGGTGGCAAAACCCTTGTTGGCAATCACAGAGGTCAGACGTTTCTTGTAGTTGGCCACCAGGTTTGCACACATCTCAGGAAGGATTTTGTCCCACTCCTCTTTGCAGATCTTCTCCAAGTCATTAAGGTTTCGAGGCTGACGTTTGGCAACTCGAACCTTCAGCTCCCTCCACAGATTTTCTATGTGATTAAGGTCTGGAGACTGGCTAGGCCACTCCAAGACCTTAATGTGCTTCTTCTTGAGCCACTCCTTTGTTGCCTTGGCCGTGTGTTTTAGGTCATTGTCATGCTGGAATACCCATCCACGACCCATTTTCAATGCCCTGGCTAAGGGAAGGAGGTTCTCACCCAAGATTTGACGGTACATGGCCCCGTACATCGTCACTTTGATGCGGTGAAGTTGTCCCGTCCCCTTAGCAGAAAAACATCCCCAAAGCATAATGTTTCCACCTCCATGTTTGACGGTGGGGATGGTGTTCTTGGGGTCATAGGCAGCATTCCTCCTCCTCCAAACACGGCGAGTTGAGTTGATGCCAAAGAGCTCCAATTTGGTCTCATCTGACCACAACACTTTCACCCAGTTGTCCTTTGAATCATTCAGATGTTCATTGGCAAACTTTAGACGGGCATGTATATGTGCTTTCTTGAGCAGGGGGACCTTGCGGGCGCTGCAGGATTTCAGTCCTTCACGGCGTAGTGTGTTACCAACTGTTTTCTTGGTGACTATGGTCCCAACTGCCTTGAGATCATTGGCAAGACCCTCCCGTCTAGTTCAGGGTTGATTCCTCAACGTTCTCATGATTATTGCAACTCCACGAGGTGAGATCTTGCATGGAACCCCAGGTCGATGGAGATTGACAATTATTTTGTGTTTCTTCCATTTGCGAATAATCGCACCAACTGTTGTCACCTTCTCACCAAGCTGCTTGGCGATGGTCTTGTAGCCCATTCCAGCCTTGTGTAGGTCTACAATCTTGTCCCTGACATCCTTGGAGAGCTCTTTGGCCTTGGCCATGGTGGAGAGTTTGGAATCTGATTGATTGATTGCTTCTGTGAACAGGTGTCTTTTATACAGGTAACAAACTGAAATTAGGAGCACTCCCTTTAAGAATGTGCTCCTAATCTCAGCTCGTTACCTGTATAAAAGACACCTGGGAGCCAGAAATCTTTCTGATTGAGAGGGGGTAAAATACTTATTTCCCTCATTAAAATGCAAATAAATTTATAACATTTTTGACATGCGTTTTTCTGGATTTTGTTGTTGTTGTTATTCTGTCTCTCACTGTTCAAATAAACCTACCATTACAATTATAGACTGATCATTTCTTTGTCAGTGAACAAACGTACAAAATCAGCGGGGGATCAAAGACTTTTTTCCCTCACTGTACCTACGTCACTTTACCGAAAGAACCGTGTCTGTCGAGCTGCCATACCCTGCCTGGCTCACCTGGAGATGGCGGTACAGCAAACATGTGGACTCCACTTGTGCAGTCTGTATGGGGATCGAGTGTTTCCCCCTTGCACGTATAGGTTTCCTCCGGGTGCGCCGGTTTCCTCCCACATGTAAACACTCATTAACTGGCCGCCAACACCTTCATATAGAGGGGAGCGCAGAACTTGGGCAATTGTTGGCGCCGGCTTACTGCGTGGCTGCCTTCCCGCGTTGTCTGTGGTTCCATCGTGCCCCCGAATTATTTCTGTCTCTTCGAGAGTGAGAGGATACTGTGCAGCATGCTACAAGTTGAAGTTCATATTATTATGAAGGCTGTGACTGCAGTATGGATAAAGAGGCCCTTGTGCCCTGGGATTATATTACTGGAGCTCACGTGCAGGAGTGAGATGCATTCTAGCATCGCAAGTTCATGAGAGGCGATGTGACGATATGGGGAGGTCTTCATCCAGCAGAGGATAGACTGTGGCTGATGATGATGATGTGTAGCAGAGTGTGTACATATAAATGTGTATTTGCTATGAATAAAATCTTGGACATTGTAGAATTATCAATGTCTTGTGTACTGCTTTGAAATCGGGTCCATCTTTTTAAAACACCCTGTATTTAGCGTGCGATAAAGATACTTACGAGAACACAAGGCAACCGACATCCACCTTCTGGTAGTGTGCAGTTCGGCTCAATAATCTGCAACGAGACAAATGCAAACATGAAACCAACAGCAACTTTGACACTTTAGGCAACCCACCATTCATTTCTGTTTAAGGCCCGACTCTGCTGATGAGACCAAGAATGTCCAAACCAGTCCAGCGTTCCCTTTTGTAAACATTTACCGGCTTGATAACATTGGTCTGGAAAGTCAATGGGCTGATGGCCTAAGACACGTTTTTATTTCTAGTTGAAGACAGAATAGTTATGTTTATGCATATGCATCAAGAGCATGGTGGCCTTAAAAGGAAAATTATATATTACGGTGACATCTTCTTGGTTCTTTCGGTAAAGTCACGTAGAATGGAAATAATAAAATAATAAAAATAAAACAAAATAAAATAATTCTCACGACGTTTCGGCCACAACGCAAGCAGCCGTCCTCAGGTGAAGAACAGGTCTGTCGGGAAGACAGCGTCTGAATGGGGATAAATGTACATTCAGACGCTGTATTTCCGACAGACCTGTTCTTCACCTGAGGACGGCTGCTTGCGTTGTGGCGGAAACGTCGTGAGAATAATTTAAATTATGTTTTATTTGTATTATTTTATTATTTCCCTTCTACGTGACTTTACCGAAAGAACCAAGAAGATGAATCCCTGCAGTCACGAAAGCTTTAAGTCGAAATTACAGTGACATTTTAGGCTATAGCCCTTCTTCGTAGCATATACAATAACACTATTATATAAATATCAAATTATGTTATGCGCCATGAAGAAGGACCATGAATAAGTGCCATTGGGACGATTATATATTTGTGTTACTTGAAAGGCCGCATTATTGTAGATTAATGTGTTCAGTTGTTTGTGCTTGCACACCACTGCCAACACAACACCAAACAATCTGCTTCTGCGATGCTTTTACCCGTAAGCTCCACAACAACGCATTATGAGCGAGAGTGGATACTTCTGCTTTAGCTTTGTGTCGTACAATGCTCTCACTGGGTGGCCATTGGAGTTCATAACGGCCACAATGTCCATGGAATCCTTCCTATATTCCGGAAATAAATAGCATATACGAGTTCAGTAAGCAACTCAGCAATTCGATGTTGGGGCCATATTTAATGTAATTAACTCTGTGAAACTGGAGCAAGGAAGGGATGTGAAATGCTGCGCCAACATTATTTTAAACGAATAATGAACAAATGAACACTAACTATTATTAACAAGGCTGCATCATTGTGCTGTCACTTCCTCCAAAAAAAAACACCACTGAATTATCAAAGCCCAAAGATTGCAATTTCCAGGATTCATCTGTACTATTATTGTTAAATTAGCCTATAAAAACATTTTGTTTTAAATGCATTTCAACTGAAATCGCTTGCAAATATGAAACCGTGCCGAATTCAATACAGTTACTGTACGACTGCCTTTTGCCAAAGCAACTCAAATGCATCGTAGCAACACACAAGGGCAAATTTACACAAGTAATTTATGCTAATTAACGTTAGAGTCAACCCCACCTAACATCATGGCAGATTTAAAATAATGTGATTGTTTTTATTAGCCGTGTGTACACAAGTGTGTGACTGTGAACCAGGGTAGTCTTATATCAGTGGGGAGCGGTAGTTGTAGCGGTTAGCGCACTGCGCTACGAAGCCAACGACCCGAGTTCGATTCCCGCTCATGACCAATAACAGTGGCAAATATTCAAACCGGTCCTGGGCCTCCCCTAGGGCGACTCAGTCTCAAATTAGTATCTGGCGTGATGCGTTGACATCTCCCCTTGGGCGGCCTTGCGTGCGTGTGCTGTGCCGGCCGTTATAGGTGCTCGCAAACAGCACTTGCCCCAACTATCTGGTAAGACTGTATGGGGGATCTTTGTATGTCTTATAAGTGAACATTTTGACTGTCTATCCTTAGCCCTACACATTATATTTATGTGTGTGAGATATGGTTTTGCCAGGTATTTGACTGCAAATGACACAAGAAACACTGACGCATGTGTACACTAAACGATGCATGTACTGTTAGGCAGAAGAATTGGTCTCAATCGGAGAATCAGTGCATCGTTATTCCACCGCTATAACCCAGTGTCTGGAGATGCAAATGGTGTTTAAAAGCATTGTAAATCCCCAAAAAAGTCACGTATGTAAAATGTGCGATGAAGAATGGCCATTCCCCGGAACGTTGTCTATTATATATATTTCCTCTAAAGCTGGAGCGTTAATGACAAATGTTTTGAGCTTTCTGTATGCGACAAGCTCCATGGTTAAATTTCGATTTTAATATTTCGTGACAGGGCTGTCGGAAAGACAGCATTCGGACACTGTCTTTCCGACAGCCCTGTTCTTCACCTGAGGACGGCTGCTTGCGTTGTGGCCGAAACATCATGAGAATTTTATTTAATGTTTTATTTTTATTATTTTATTATTTCTCTTCTACGTGACTTTACCGAAAGAACCAAGAAGAAGCTCCATGGTATCAAGAAATGTGGTAGACATGGATGAATGGCCTTCACGTGACAGTCATTGATAAAGGGCAACTTCTAACGATATGAATGTGGAACAAAAGCATTTATGGAATTTTATTGAAGGGGCCCCTATATTTTAATATTACTTTTTTACCCGCTTTTATTTAACTCACTTTGTCTCTTGTATCCTCAACTCTGTCTGTTGTCGTATCCTCAAATCTTGTAACTCAATTTTAACCCACTTCCGAATGTCATATCGACTGCAAACTTGGTATACGTATGTCATACTGATGGCAATACTATATTCTATCATAAAAACAAATTTAAGCAATCTTTTTTATATCTTATGTTTCGGCTTGGGTCTAATGGTCCATGCTCAACTCACGTTGGCTGTAAATCACCACGGTCCCTTCCGTAATGGCAAGCCTCGGGGCCACTTCCTGGAGTTCTGCCATTACTCGTACGGTATATTTCATTAAAGCGTGTTTTAAAAAAAGTATTTTAAATATTACTTATTTTATACGCAAACATCTTAAACGCATGTTTTTTAAACCGGACTTCCAAAGTTGTCACGTACAAAGTGGAAGTGATTTTTTTGCTCATATCCTGTTCAACGGCAGGGGCCATTGGTGGTAAATTCCACATTCCTATGGCGTGGGTCAGTCTGTCCACAGATCAACCACTGTTGACTTTCTCCAAAGTGGTACTCATTTTATCGACCCCGGTGGGATAAAGGGCTAGAAATCTCTCTTCCACCGATTGTCTCATAAGTAGTGCACACCCTCAGCAGAGTTCCGTTTTACTGACCCTGCAAGAGTGATGATGATTATTGGATAAGTTGACTTGGATTGATATTTGATCTCGTGATCTTGAATCTTGAGAACAATACTCTCTCATACATTTACTGCCCAAGAGCAAACTCCCTCTCTACCGCTTACATTCCCACTCCATACTCCTCACCTCTAAACCACACTCTGCACGAAGAGTTCCATTCCTTGGCTACTATTTTGTCATTATTCTTGACCATCATCCATGATCACATCTCGTGGCATGTCCTGTCAAAACCCTCTTATTTTTTACAGTGTGTACCATGTCTTTAACCTGGGTATACATAGCACATTGCGTTATTATTCATTAGTTCAGGCTTGTTAAAAGAACACACTTGTTTTGTAACTCGGAGGGGTTCACGAATAAAACATTCCAAACATTGTGTCAGGCTTTACGGGGGAGTTCATACTTTCATAAGCGTTGGAATTATAACCATAAATCGTGACAAATATCTACTCCCAAAGTTATGAGTCTGGCCAGGTGGTACTGATGTTTGCGCAATCTACTTAGAATTGGAAGGGCCCAAGTTAAAATTCCGGTTGGGGGTCAACTCCACCAATCATCTATTGAGGGTCGATACAATTTATACCATCTTGTGGGAAGGCAGAATTGGTGGTATTAAACAGTGAGACTGGTCCCCACAATAAGACGCGGACTCTCCACCAATAAAGTCGAGTACTGCCAAATGTTACATTGAGCATTGAAACACTTTACAGTAACGCCCTCCCCAATTACCCAGGGAAGCCTCATTGAGTCTTAAGCCTCTTTTTCAGGAGGGTTCCTGCATTGGGACGTTTAGTCAATTCTGGAAGGAAAACCCAGAGTACCTGGAGAAAATTCACAAACACAAGGGGATAAACACCACAGACCTTCGAGGATGCATTGCTTTGCTGCCACCCCATGACCAATCTGCAGGCCAAGCTTACAACACCCATGGTATCGAGTCTAACCAGACACAAAACCTTCCAAGCATCCAAACATCTTGGGTTGAAGCTGTGGCACGGTGGTCAGCTCACTGCACCCGTCACCGGCGTTCGATTCTCCATCACGGCCAGCGTGAGCGTCGAGTGATATCCGAACCAGTTCTGTCCCCACGCTCACCAAGGCCGCATTGACCAGCGTGGCGAAGTATGGTCCACCAACCCCAGGGAACCGACACGGCAGTGGATTGACAAAGGGCTCTGAATTGATGCACCGAGGACAGCGGAGGGCAATGTGTTAAGTTGCGTTGCTCAAGGGCCAAGCCAACATGTTGCGGTATTGTAGAGCGAGATGCCACAAAAGGCCCTTTGTCTTCGGATCGGCATTATCATGCCTAGAGGCCGCCGATTGCCTTCGTATGCAGGATATAACAACGTAGCAACACAGCTTGGAATACCCTTGGGCAGTCAACCAAATGTCACGATGAATTTACGAGAGAGAGAAAAAGCCACAATGAACCTTCCTATTTTGCGCAATCGTGTTATGCAGGAAATTGCTTTGTTAGCTTTGATTCCCAATTTAGCTCGAAAATTTAATTTCACAGATTTTAATCATTCATTTGGTCATTGTGAACTGTGGACGTTGCAGAAGCTGATAATGCAAGTGCTTTTCATTTAATTTGAATCATTAAAGCCCTCATGCTCCACAATGTTCAATGCTTTTTATAATATATATTAATTTATTTCTCAAACCTTATTTCCTGCATTATGCAGGTATTGGGCAGAATTGCACTTTCTTTTTAACACAAATTACAGTTTTTCTGATGTTTTCGGTTTGTAACGCCTGACGTTTCGCTCCATGTACCAGGCCGCAGGAGCTCTTCCCTACATTAATCTAATTAATGTTGAATGATTATCATTCTCACAATACATATAAATATGGCGCCGCGGTGGCGAGATGTTAACTCCCTCGCCTGGTATGCAAGAGGTCGTGGGTTCGATCCCAACCCTGACGCCTGAATATTGTAGTTTGTATGTTCTCCCCATTGTAGCGTGGATTTTGCTCCGGGTCCTCTGGTTTTCCCCTCCACATTTAGGAAATCTGCGCTTAGAGTATTTGGCTGCTATGAATTTCCACGTGATAAGCCACTTCGTTGAGCTATCATTTGTGGCCAGGTCACTTCTGAAAAAGAGCTACATAGCTCAGTGGGCCTTAACTGGTGAAATTATAAATAGTTTGGCTTTGTTTCAAATACGAGTAACTGTGTTTTGATTCCTACATATGTCAGTTTGTTCATGTAAAGCCTGCAGCCCAATAAATGCCATACCCTCACCGATAATCATGACAACTCATCACGTCACAAGGCCCGAAAACGTATGCTTGCTGAAGAAACATGTTTGTTTTTTAAGTATTTCATTGCCAATCTTGCCCAAAATCCATAAACATCTGGACAGCGGCGTCGGTAAGCTCTGTGGTGAGTTTCATCGCGATTGAGGTTGAAGTTTTGTAGCTTTTGTGAGAACACGTGAACCCAGTAAGCATGGAGCGTCGAGCCAACCAGCCACATGCCAACGTCGACCCAACGTCAACCCAACATTGGTATGCTTACTGGGCAGTGGCCTCGTGAGGCCGGACATCATATTTCAAAAGCAACAACAACAAAACAAGTGCTCACAAATACACTAAAATGTTACTATCGGTGGCATGTAGCGAGACAATACATCACCCACCGTGGACAGTGAGCTTTCTGTGAATGACATTTTTTGTTTCACCTGCTGACGTCACTGGTGTATGGTGCCCGCTGAAGATGACACCGCGGAACTAACTACGGTACCCTTGGGAGAAACGTCTGCGAGCCTCGAGATTTATCAATAAACGGCGCCCTCTGGTGGTGGCGTCCTTTAAAAAAAAATTCATTCCGCTCCTCGTTTGCTCCGAGGCAGCCCTTAACTCGGGCTGAACGATGAATCGATTTCAAATCGAAATCGCAATTTGAAACAATGCGATTAGAAAATCGCAGTGGCTGCGATCTTTGGCAATTTGAAAAGTCGTATTTATTATTGGAATGATTTTATTTTTGATTATTATAACGTTCTTTAACTTAACAATTGTTCTGTGTTTGATTGTTCTATTAATTTTTTTTACTAAATACATGTTGGAAGCAATTCATAGATTTTACGTTCTCGTCCTTGCATTAGAATACATAGAGCTGTTCATATTTTGATGGTAGCATGTGGTAATGCTCCACCACATGTGTTTAATCTATTACACAGTGAATATTGAACTGAAGCTTGACTTTTAAAAAATGTAATCACAAATCAAATCGCAACCGCAATATCTGTCAGAAAAATCGCAATTAGATATTTTCCCCAAATCGTTCAGCCCTACCCTGAACTCGACGAAAAGCCACGCTCGAGACGACGGTCATTTCAACGCAGTCGTTGGTGATTGGGCCGAGACCCAGGGGCCGTCCATAAATGACGTCGCGCGATTTTGGACGATTTTTGACCCCCCCCCCCCCCCCTTTGTCACGCGGCGTCATAAAAAATCAGACCCCCCTCAAATGTGACGTCACAAAGCTCTGCCCCCCCCCCCCAAATAAAACATGCTTCAAATCGCTTTAAACTATTGTCATTGTAGTGCGTATTTAATGTGGCGCTGCACTCTGATGTTGTAGGAAGAAAACATTTATTTAAAAGTCTATTTGATTAAGTAGAACGTGTTGTCTATATGTATTTAAAGTTGCGCATTTTGATGTGACGTCACATTTCTCAACGCCCCCCCCCCCCCTAGGTGCGTGACGTCATTTATGGACGGCCCCCAACAACCACAGAGAACCCGATCAGACTCGGGTTTAATCGTGCGCGGGATGACACCGTGGGTCTGGACTAAAAAATATCAAACATCGGTGACGCCGAATCAGCGCTTGGCAGAGCCGTTGCGAATTCTCTCTGCGCTGCTGCAATTCGCAAAGGGGGGGGGGGGGGGTGGTGTAGTGTCGAGATTTCACTGCGCGATTCAAGAGGTGAATTCAATGACTCGTTGCCGAATGTAAGCGGCCTCTCGTGGCTGGAGTGGTCAACGCATATGAAAAAAAAATCCGCTGATTCTTACGCACGCAAATCTGTGCATCGTTTGGGCTAAGAATGCATGATAACGAATGGACGAATGCATGAACACGCCAACAGCCGCCTTCTGGCATACAGAAACACCAATAAACCCCAGCAGCACTTCAGCGTGCAGGCTTCCAGCCAACGTCGGCGATTGTATACGTAAATATGTTTTTCCTTTCAAGTGTTCTTGGCGCAAGTGATGAGTTGTGATTGTTGATTCTAGATTTGAAGTTTTCGTGACTGCAATGATCCATAGTCTTTGGTTCTTTCGGTAAAGTCACGTAGGTAAAAAATAAAATAATACATTCTAGCTGTGATTTTCACACCTGATAATGATTGCTTGTGTTGCAATCGAAACGTCGTGATTTAATTTACTTTTATTTATATTTTATTTCAATTGTTTTACCTACGTTGTTATTGTTGGTCACCTGTATTTGTGCAGCACTGCCTGCGCAGCAGCAGCAGCGTCACCAAATAGTTTGCAAAGCTTCTAGACAGTTTTAACGACACAAATATACTTTGTCCAGAAGAGGGCAGCATGTAACAACAATGCTTTGCGTTACTGCAAAGCTTTTTACTGGTAGGAACCTCCTGGTTACACCAGCCCACAGGGGATTATTGTGTCCGTCCGTCCGTCGTGCAGGGAGGAGCTGGGTGGGGAGGGAGAGGCTGGGTGGGGAGGGGAGGGTGTAGAGGGGCTGGGTGGGGAGGGTGGTGAGGGGCTGGGTGGGGAGGGTGGTGAGGGGCTGGGTGGGGAGGGTGGGGCTGGGTGGGGGGTGGGAGGGGTGGGGCTGGGTGGGGAGGGGCTGGTCACCCCGTGGTGCCCTTATAAAACTCAACGTTTAACCTACTCACGCCGGCTTGTGCCCGCCCTCACAGTCGGGCATATTTGCGGAATACACCACGCCGCCGTTGACCCTGGCCATTGACCGAGCAACTCAACGTTCCTACCAGCTCCCTCCGCAGGAACGTGTTAGATACAGATAATCCGACTTTCTGATTCAACGAAGTGCAAAATAATTGCATTGTAGTGGTGTTTTATGACCAACATTGTGTAAACTATTCATATTTACACGCTATATTATTACATTAACACGGCATTCCTGCTAACTTACTGTATCTATTCTGCTATTGCTGCACAGTAGAATTACATTGTGACAGTTCAAATCCCTATCAGAGATGGATTCGGCCCATCATCTCCTTCAGGTGAGTAAAATTAGTACTGCTTTGTGAGGAACCCACAGTGGTCTTCTGATGGAGAGAATCTCTCCCGCAACAGCAATGAAGAATTTTAAAATAATGGCTAAGAGTAACCCTATCAAGAGATGAGCATCAACCCTCATACATTGTCGCATGGGAAATGTGTTGATGGTCATCATCGTTGTTGTTGTTATTTGCCTCATTATTACCATCAAGGTGTATTCTCGTTTCTTCGACCTTGGTTACACTGTTGTCCATTAGCATACGTGTAACATTTCTATCAGATAATTTCCTTAATAATGTGAACCATTGGTTCTCATCCACGTGATTCGAATCAAGAACGTAAGAATCCCATATTAAATTATGAATCCGTCTCTCCGGCATCTTAGTGTGCAATGAAGAAGTGCCATTGCTTGACACATCGACAATTATCTATTTTTTACTGTTAACATCTCAGTGTTTTTGACAAATGCTTTTTTATTCTTCTTTGTATACGGTATATATACGTAAAACATACATCATTACATGTGTAATAATAATGATGTAGATGTTCAAGATGATGTTGGTCATGGTGATGATTTTCATGATTATAATGATGATGGTGATGTTCAAGATGATGTTGGTCATGGTGATGATTTTCATGATCATAATGATGATGATGTTCAAGATGATTATGGTCATGCTTATGCTTTTCATGATAATAATGATGATGGTGATTATGGTGATGTTCAAGATGATGTTGGTCATGGTGATGATTTTCACATGATAATAATGATGATGATGGTGATGATGGTGATGTTCAAGATGATGTTGGTCATGGTGATGATTTTCACACGATAATAATGATGATGATGGTGATGTTCAAGATGATGTTGGTCATGGTTATGATTTTCATGATCATAATGATGATGATGGTGATGTTCAAGATGATGATGGTCATACTCTTAGTTTTTTCGGTAAAGTCATGTAGATAAAAAATGAAATTAAAATTAATAAAAATAAAATAATAAAAATCACGACGTTTCGGAGGCAACACAAGTCTCCGTCATCAGGTGGGACCGTCACAGCCGGATCTGCTGCATCAAGTGATTTAATTTCATTTTTTACCTACGTGACTTTACCGAAAGAACTAAGAGTATAAATCCTTGCAGTCACGAAAGCTTCAAATCTAGATGATGGTCATGTTTATGATTTTAATGATCATAATAATGATGATGTTGATGTTCAAGATGATGATGGTCATGATGATGATTTTCATGATAACAATGATGATGCACACTCACCGAAGTTGATGCTCACGGAGGTGGGACAGGGACTCCAAGCCGTGTAGAAAATAATAAACCAGCTCCAAATCCTGTAGAAGACACAAGACTTGTTACCATTCCATCCACATAGGCATCCAAACATGTATATGCACAAGCTGCAGTAGGCATTGGCACACCACAGTTAATGATGACGTCACCCTGCTGCTGCTGCTGCTCTATATCAAAACGGGAGACACAGCAGAGCCTCACCATTCTGGCGAATTGCCCGATGATGCTGGTTGCAATTACCAGCGAAACGTCGTACTCAAATTGTAAATGTTGTGGCTTCAACACACCGGTGGGCTAAAGCAGTGAACTATTTGTCTTTGTCAACGTGACACATTTTTACTGATTGGCCGTGTCGGGTGGTGGAGGGTTACGACACATTTATAAATAAACGCGATCTAAACCCAAAAACGTTGATTATGAACACCACAGTTAGTCAATTTGCAGATCGCCTGTGGTGGAATACAGTGCGAGTAATCCCACCGACACCAAGACAATCTGTCCAGGGTGGAAGAGTATGGGTTCTAGAGCCCTGGCTGAAACTTTGCTAACCCTTAAACTACACAAAGCTGCATATTGGTGATCCTCTATAGAGACAACAGACTTTCTCTGTCAGTCATGGCCCTTCAGTAATTTTGGCGAGAGCCAAGCGAGGGCTCAATTCTGTTGGGAAAAAGGCAGGATCCTATGTAGGGTACCTTCTTCTTGGTTCTTTCGGTAAAGTCACGTAGAAGGGAAGTAATAAAATAATAAAAATAAAACATAATAAAATAAATCTCACGACGTTTCAGCCACAACGCAAGCAGCCGTCCTCAGGTGAAGACCAGGTCTGTCGGGGAGACAGCGTCTGAATGTCCTGGTCTTCACCTGAGGACGGCTGCTTGCGTTGTGGCCGAAACGTCGTGAGAATTATTTTATTATGTTTTATTTTTATTATTTTATTACTTCCCTTCTACGTGACTTTACCGAAAGAACCAAGAAGATGAATCCCTGCAGTCACGAAAGCTTTAAATCGAAATCTATGTAGGGTACTTACAATGAAGGTTGCGTGGCCTGACCAGAAATAGTTAATACTGTTATACCACCACTACTGGGGGGGGGGAGGGGGGGAGTAGTGACCAGTGGATTTGTGGTGGACAAATACTTATATAGACTTATTTTATTCATGTGCACCGTAGCTTTGATTAATTCATTTGGGGTAAAACTCAAATTATAAACTAAACAATGTTTTATTTGATCAGGTAAGGTCCACCGAGCTTATAGAGCTGTTTTTCCGAAGCGACCCGGCCACAAATGACAGCTCAACAAAGTGGCGTATCGTCATGTGGAACTTTATATCAGGCAAACACTCTAAATGCACGTTTCGAAATAAACTTGAAGAGGTCAAAGTGACCGGGTAGTGGAGGGCCGAAGCATAGCGAGGCTTCAAGTTGACGTTTAGAACAGCCTGTTCCATGATGGACTTTGTCCAAGACAAGCCAACATATCAAGCACTCATCCATCCTCCTCTCGACAAATACCAGCAGCCATCGCGCCTGTTGATCTCGTCAAGGAGCATAAAAACCATCACACGAACTCCGGTCATCCTCGCAGCGGCTTTTGGCTGGCCATCGAACAAATACAGTCACCAGCATCGCGCGGCGCTTTCAGATGCGCTTCTGCGGCCGTCTGGAACGCTCTTCTGTCCGATATTAGGAAGCCACTGGAGCTATGAATTTTTTTTTACTTTTATTGAAAACTCAATTATTTAGAACCGCTTTTTGGATCTACTTTGTTCTCCTCCTGCACCTCCGATTAGCACTGTTTGAGTAAGTATGGTGCAAAAGAAGTTTAACATACATTTAAACACATTGCACCAGTTGCTCATTTAAGGCTGTGTCGACCTATGAGATGTCCAGAACCAGTCTGTCCGAGTTGGGTGACCCAGAAATAATGTATGCACCTGGCACACCACATTCAGTAAATCTATCTCGCTTTGACTGTAGCTGCTATTTAAATAACCTACTCTGGTTCATCTGGGACCGGGAAAAGTATTTCAGTGATAAATTAAAAGGTGTTCATGACAACGGGAGTGGAGTTTTCAGCCGATGCTGCTGACGCCACTGCAAACACAATTCCTGACATTTAATTTGTATTACGTGATATAGTTAATAGTGACAGGCTGCTATGAGATGGTATCCCGAGGATAAAACGGAAACTATTCCCCAGACATATTTAATTAGGATATGGGTGCAATACCAACGCAAGACGTTTTAAAATAAGTTTAGATGTATACATTGTATATGATTAAATAAAATACGGTACAATACAAAGCTTTGTTTAAAAATAGCCATTGGAGCACTTACAATATGCGATTTCTTTCAAATGCCAGTTAATTTCAGTTCCACGTAATATTTTATTGCATTTCCATTTTCGGTATTGAAAAACTATGCACCACATCATCACGAAACAAATTTTACGCGGTTCAAAAGATGTTATGACAACGTGACGTATTCGTTAAGTCTCATTCCCACTACAGCATCACTGTACGGTGTGTCTGACCAGCTAGTTGTGCCTCAGGCTTGTTCCATCTGGCCCGGCCCTCTAGCTGCTACCGTAGGCGCACACCAGGCTCAACATCCCTGGTGAGTCGGTACAGTCAGCAGCTGCCAACACCGAACCCCGGGCGACGGTTAACTAACCCGGCAAACTCGGCTAGTCTGAGCCTGGGCGTGTGGAACCCTTGGTGGAGGAAATTCAACCAAAACGGGTCTTTGGACCTTCCACTGCAACCAGGACCATCTCCAGTCGTCTTGACTACGTCTCGCCACTGGGTAGATGCGGCTGGTCGAGAGAGCGAGGTTGACGCTGCGCAAATCACCCTCGCTTAAATCCAAGTTCTCTGCGCTAGTCATGGCATTTTTTTTTTTTACGGCAGAACCGCTTTAATCTGTGCCAACAAATACCCATGCCTGGAAGAGCCAAACGTCAATAAGTAAACACATTAATGAACGGGTGATTGAGCAAGCAAATAAATGAATGCACAGCAAAACAAAGAGGACCACGGACAGTCAAAAGAACACACAGACACGTGGGACAAACACAAAGACAAAGATCCCCCGTATTGCCTTTAACAGACCGTTGGGGCAAGTGTCGTTAGTGAGTACCCATTCAGGCTGTATGTATGACTGTTGAACTTCTTTCGCGCCGTACGTAGCCAACCGTGCTAAAATCGGAGGTGCCACATCGTGTGGGCACGGCACCCTGTGCGTGGATGTGGCGAGCACCACGCACAGGACCACCCTTTAGCACGCTTTTTTGTTAACTCGCTCTGTCTATTGTTGTTGTTGTTGTCGTATCCTCAAATCTTGTAACTCAATTTTAACCCACTTCCCAATGTGGTATCGACTGCAAACTTGGTATACTTACGTCATACTGATGACAATACTACATTCTATCATAAAAAAAATATATATTTTTTTTTTAAACGTTACTTTTTATATGTTACGTTTCGGCTTGGGTCTAATTGTCCACGGTAAACTGACGTTGGCTGTAACTGACCACAGGTCCCTTACGTTGTGGCAAGCTTCGGGGCCACTTCCTGGAGTCGTGGAGTTCTGCCATTACTAATACATTTCATGAAAGAGTGTTTTTTTCAGTTTTTTAAAATATTACGTATTTGTCTCCCACCACAGCGCTGCTGGTTGCACACCGCACCGGGTACTCATTGAAGGCCGAGACGGGTTCACAATACGGAGCTCGGACCACTACGGGCAATGGATATCGTCTCACTGCGATTCCGCTACTCGCAAACGTAGCCCTGCAGCATCTCATGATGCTGTTAACACGTGCAAAAAAAGACTAAATATATATAACAAAAATACCAGGCAGAACTACATCGCTTTTTTTCAGAACGCGCCCTGGCCACAAATGACATCGCAACGAAATTGCTTATCACGTGGAGATTTCTTTCAGCACACGTTTCTAAATGTGCAGGGAAAAACCGGAGGAAAATCCACCGTGACCACGGGGAGAGAGACACGCAAACTCCAAATATACAGCAGCAGGCGTCAGGGTTGAGATCAAACGACCTCCTGTACACCAGGCGAGGTAGTTAACATCTAGCCACCGTGGCAACCTGATGATGCTGTTAACATGTGATGATGCTGTTGACATGTGATGCTGTTGGCATGTGATGATGCTGTTAACATGTGATGATGCTGTTAACATGTTATGATGCTGTTAACATGTGATGATGCTGTTGACATGTGATGATGCTGTTAACATGTGATGATGCTGTTGACATGTGATGATGCTGTTGACATGTGATGATGCTGTTAACATGTGATGCTGTTGTTGACATGTGATGATGCTGTTGACATGTGATGATGCTGTTAACATGTGATGATGATGTTAACATGTGATGATGCTGATAACATGTTATGATGCTGTTAACATGTGATGATGCTGGATGTAATCTCCAGCAAAACGTTGTATTAAACATGATGGGTTGCCGAAAAATCAAAGTCAATTTGCACATTTCCCAGCAGAGGTGTGGACTCGAGTCATGTGACTTGGACTCGAGTCAGACTCGAGTCATGAATTTGATGACTTCAGACTCGACTTGGACTTGCATAACAATGACTTTGTCCCACCTCTGAGGTGTGGACTCTAGTCATGTGACTTGGACTCGAGTCAGACTCGAGTCATGAATTTGATGACTTCAGACTCGACTTGGACTTGCATAACAATGACTTTGTCCCACCTCTGAGGTGTGGACTCGAGTCATGTGACTTGGACTCGAGTCAGACTCGAGTCATGAATTTGATGACTTCAGACTCGACTTGGACTTGCATAACAATGACTTTGTCCCACCTCTGTTTCCCAGCGTGACAACTTGATTTGATTGGCTCTGTCGGGTGGTGGAGGCTTTTAGTTAAAAATTGATATTCCTATTTGCACGATCTAACCCAAATAAAACCAATTATGAATCGTATAACGCCCGTCCTATATGTGGCGGTCGCCCATGCAAGGACTATCCAGGCCCGACGCTGCTTAGCTTTCG